AAAAAAAAAAAAAAAATGCAAAATTATTATTATAGGCATAATACACTTTCTTTATCCTCACTTCACATATCTTTTTTCCACTTTCTTTAATTTTGAGAGCATTTAACTTTTTTTAAAACATTTTACAAACTATTTTCCAACTCTAATTCACTATTTTTTTTCCCCTTCAGTTATCTTCACGCACACACAGAGTCTCTGTTTTGGTTTCCCCCAAAAATATAATGACTGACAGAGCTTACCCATCAGCAAAGCCAAACGGCGCCGCCGCGCCGCCGCCGTTAATCCCCAACCCTCCGCCGGCCAAATCCCACCTCTACAATCCGACGCGCCACCCATACCGCCCTACCCCCACTTCCCACCCCGCGCAGAAACGCGGCGGCCGTCGCCCCAGCTGCCGCCGGTGCTGCTGCCTCGCCTGCCTCTGGACCTTCCTCATCCTGATTGGTCTCCTCCTCCTCGCCGCCGTCGCCGCCGCTGTCCTCTACGCGCTGTACCACCCCCGTCGCCCCCTCTTCTCCGTCACCTCCCTCAGGATCTCCGCCTTCAACCTCACCACCGCGCCGGCCGACGGCTCCACGCGTCTCACCGCCGCCGCCAGCGTCACGCTCTCGGCGAGAAACCCCAACACCCGGAAGATCACGTACCTGTTCGGTCCGTCGGCGGTCTCAGTCCGGTCGGGGTTGGTCGTCCTGTGCAGCGGCTCCGCCGCGAGTTTCACAAGCCTGCCGGGGAACGTGTCGGCGGTGCACGCGGCGGCCGCGTCGAGCGGGCGGCTGCTGTACGGGGACGATGCGCAGTCGCTGAGGGAGGATCTGAGGAAGAGGGGGGCGGAGCTGAAGATCGTGGTGGAGACGACGGTAGGGGTAATAGTGGAAAAGAAGAAGATGAGGAAGGTGGGGATCAGGATCAAGTGCGACGGCATACACGGGCAGCTGGTGGTGCCCAAGGGTAAAAATGTAACTTCGGCCAACACCGCCAACGCGAGGTGTGACGTGGGTCTCAGTATCAAGATCTGGAATTGGAAATGGACATTTTGATTTTTTAATTAATATATTTGTTTATTATTAAATTTTTTTTTTGTTTTTTTTTTT